CTCGTGGGCTTTGTGCACAGTCTTGTTGTAGCTATGCCTTGGTTGTTGTAGGATCACTGGGAGGAATTGACCTCCAGGGCAATTGGCAGCGAGAATCAGCTGTGTCTACAGTGGGAGAACTTCTGTGCTGGAGACACCCTTCTGGGGCAAGACTTGCTTCAGTGGGGCTTTGGTGCTCACTGAGACTGCACCCTGAGTGTGTCCCTTATGGATCTGAGGAGTTGTGATCTGGAAGGTTCCCCTCTGACCACTGGGTACAGTGGCTCTTGGATCTAAGGAGGTGCTAATTTAGCCTCTGCCTGAGGTTACACAGCAGGAACTACGAAAAGAACTGCATATTCCCCTTCCTTTTTTTTGGAGTTTGGAAGTGCCCTGATGATGCTCAGCTGTGTAGCAATGCAAGCCGCTGTGGGGCCTTGGGCCTTCTCTTGGAAGCTCTGGGTCTATCTGGCCAGGCTGCTGTTAGGTAATTACAGGTTGCAAATGGCCGGGGCATTCATATGCAAAAGCCTCTGCCACAGCCTGGGCGGGGCGGGGTCTCAAGAAATCAAAGGGCGGAGAAAGCAGCTATGGCGGAGCCTCAGCCCCACCCTAAGGAGTCGCGAGTCCCAGTGTCCCGGCAATGGCTGCAAGCACCTCTGAGGGAAAGCCGCTCTCAAGCTCATCCGCTGCCAGACAGTCCAGTATCTCCCCGTATGAGTCCTGGGTCCCCAGAGACTTCCCGGAACCGGATTTCAGAGCCGTCGGGAGCTTGTGTCTCCCTCCGGATTCAAAAAGACAGCCGCTTCCTCAGGTGCCAGACCCTTTCCGCGTGCGAGCCCCCGTACCTCTGCACTCCACCTCCGCAGCTCCTCCCGCTCGCAGTGTGCTTTTCTTTCCTTCTAGTTGTAGAATTTACACTCAGCCAGCCCTCCTGTAGTTCTGGATGATGTCCACCTTGTGTTTTTGATGCATTTATCGATTGTTGTGGGAAGCAGCAATTTCCCGGTGTTTATCTATGCCGCCATCTTAGTTTCTCCATTGTACAGCTCTATACATTTTTAAAATCCTCACCCAAGGACATTTTCACAGATTTTTGAGAGAGATGAAAGAAAGAGAAAGAGAGAGAGAGAGAGAGAGAGAGAGAGAGAGAGAGAGAGAGAGAAAGAAACATCGATGTGATAGAGAAACATTGATTGGTTGCCTTCTACATGGCTGGGGATCAAAACCTAGGTATGTGCCCTGACCAGAAATTGAACCCACAACCTTTTGGTGTATGGGACGATGCTCCTACCAACTAAGCCACACCAACCAATACTGAATCTATACGTTTTTGGTGGTAACGTTTTCTTGCACCTTTACAGAGGCCTTAGTCATTTTGTAAAGTAACTAAGTGCTCATCACCTAGACTTTTCCCTCCTTGGCTCATTTTCTGACTCTTAATTTACTTAGGTCCCTACTGATCCATCATTTGGTAATCTCTGACTTCTCCAAGTCATCTTCTGGGTCCCTTATTTAGGCCTGTCTCCCATCTCCCTTTAATTCAGAATGTCCTAAACTATAGAAATTCTGAGGGGGCTGGGGGGAAGGAGGGGGTGTTCCATAGTCAAATGAATTTGGGAATTATGGTGTCAATCAAAATTCAGTAGCTTACTTTACTGCAAGACTTCTAGAGCCCTCAGTATTCATATATGCACTGTGAATCTCCAAAAGAGAAATAAAGCTTGCAGTGTTTTCCTGTACAGATGTGGTTGTGAACAAAAGCCAACTCTGTCTTTGTGTCCTGGATCATGCTGTGACCTTTAACTACCCTTACCGTCCTATGTAAGTGTACCAAAGCCTTCTGGTTGATGATTGTCTGTGTTCCATACAATGTAGCCACACATATTTTTGTTAGTAACTGCCAGAATGGCATAACAACTGAGTTAAATATCAAACTGGTGATAGAACCAATTATATACCATCATCTATCATAAGACCACCAGGAGATATGGCTTCTGGTGCATTCTGCATTCGTTGTCCCTTTGTCTTGTCAATCATCAGTACTTGAATTATATTATAAGAAATGTACTGTAACAGGGATCTGGTGGTGGGGAATAATTTGCATAGAACTGTTGGGTCATTTGTCTGCTCTGACCCTACATTCCTGTATATAAATTAGCCTATAATAAATTCTGTTATATTTTACTAGTGGCATGGTGCACGGATTTGTGCACATTGAAAGGAAATTAGAAGAAATATTTTAATATCACTATTCGCCCTTTCTCTATAATAGAAGTGTTAGAGATGAAAGAAAATTAGTAAAATATATATGAAAATAGTATATACATTGTTTAATAAATAAATAACATGATATAAAAACAACAAAGACATGATATAAAAACAAAAAAACATGATATAAAAACAATAAAAACATGATATAAAAACAACATTGATGGGGGTAATGGGGAATAAGGACATATATGTAATACCTTAATTAATAAAGAAAGAAATATATATATATATATATATATATATATAATTTACAACATTGATAAGAACAATGACTGATAAATTGATTAAACTTATTCAAATATCTCCCTGTATACCACATTAAGAGTAAAAGCACTTTCAGAGTGCTTGGCTAATTTCCCTTGTGATGAAGTATTTAGAACTTTAACATCACACACTCTTCAAACTCGAGAGAAAGCAACATATAACTGACCATGTCCAAAAATGGGCTCAGGCAGGAATATTCCTACTCTGTCTAGAGTTTGTCCTTGTGATTTCTTAATAGTCATCGCAAATGCTGGCATCACGGGAAACTGTCTTCGAATTAATTTAAATGGAAGGCCAGTGTCAGATGGGGACAAATATTGCACATGCGCAAGTCAACATTTATTTTTAAATTGCCAGTGCATGTCATATGTACTGGCCAGTTGGTCAGTCGGACGGTCAGACGGATGTACGGTCGGTCACTTAGCCTTTTATATATACAGATAGAGTTGTCTGCATTGTTCTTCAGTCTGAAAATACCTCCTCACTGCAGTGGCCATCACACCTTTGCCCCACTGTTGGACATGACTCAATTAATTGATCATGGAACCCTTTCCAAAGAATATGTAATGACATATCATATAAACAAGTGCATTAATCTTCAAATAAAAACTTCCAAGTTCTTCAGTAAACCTTTCCTTAGTGGAAGACAATTTATATGCTATCTCACTACTAGATTGTAAATGCTTTGAGGGCAATTTCTTCTATTTTCTTGAAATATTACCTGATCTCATCTATATATATATTAAAACTCTGGGGTTCTCTTACGTCCTGGGATGAGCACATTGGGCACCACTCAAGGGTTGCATGGAAGATTCTTGCTAATTAATCTAATTTAGTTTTCATCATCTTTTTACTGCACCTCAATTCAATTACTTCGGATGCTTTATTCAAGGCTTTGAGCTAGGCACTGCTGAGTTAAAAAAAAAAAAAAAATGAGCCCTAACCGGTTTGGCTCAGTGGATGGAGCGTCGGCCTGCGGACTGAGAGGTCCCAGGTTCGATTCTGGTCAAGGGCATGTACCTTAGTTGCCGGCATATCCCCAGTGGGGAGTGTGCAGGAGGCAGCTGATTGATGTTTCTCTCTCATCGATGTTTCTGACTCTCTATCCCTCTCCCTTCCTCTCTGTAAAAAATCAATAAAATATATTTTTTAAAAAATGAGTAAGATCTAGTTACACCTCCCAGGGCCTGTATAGAAGCAATAAGACAAGTACATGACCCAAAGCACAAGTTAAATGCTAAACAAGAGGTACAAACCATCTTGGGATTCAGTGGAAAAATAATAACAATTGGACAGAAACATGGAGGATGTATTATTTGGGATAAGCCTTAGATTAAAAAAAAAAAAGTAGACAGAGAATATTGGAATAGTGTTACAGGCAGAGGGCATAGAATATATACAAGGCATGAAGGTAGAAAGAGTGGCAAGTTCACCTGGCTGTTTGGCAAGAGCGTATGGAGCACACAGGATGAGTTGTAGATTGGCGATGACCACAGCATGGATAATAAAAATGGAAAGAATAGCTTAAATGCCAGTATGAATTATGTTAATGCTGTCCATAGGGAGCCACTGAAGAATTTTTTATTGGAAGGGTGATGTGGGGACCACCTGCTCCTCTCCCATCATTTGTTCTGTCTCCTGAGCTCCAGGTCCTTTGTCTCTGTCCAGCACAGCAACATCTGGAAACTTCAGCCAATGAATCGAACTTCCGCTCTATCAGGTACCGCATCTTGGAGAGCTGTCCAAAGTACAACAGAAATCCGGGCCCTAGATTCTCTAGTCAATGAGCACCCTCTCTGTGTAGAACAATACCGCGTGCCAGAATGTTGAGAAGAGGGTGTTCAAGATGCAGAATACAGATAAGAGGTCATTGGTAGGTTTAATGAGAATACTTTGGGGAGTTATGATTTCAGGGTATTAAAGAGGAAACCAAGCCGATAAGAAAAAAAGGATGTGTACAGATAGTAAATTCTAAGCAGTGAGCCAGGAGAATAGACCGTAGCTAGTCAAATCTCAAGGCAGCCCAGGACTAAAATCGGTACTGGTGTGCAATGAAGGGTGAAGCCCAAACAACTGGAGGTTAGTTCGAGGTCACCCCCCAGGCCTTACAAGCACTATACTGGTGTAATGATGGAAGAACTAGACCCTCCAGGCTGTTGATATGGGCTTGGGAGGTTATGTGTGTTTCATGGTTTAATGTTTTCTGTGACTTAGACTTAGAGGTCACCCAGGGAGATGGAAGTACCCTTGGTGTGGAGAGAGCCTGAAGGTTTGAGAACGCTGGTGCCTGCTGGGGAAGCAATGAAGGGGACAGAGCAAAGCTTTGGTGTTTTGCTGTGGTCGCAGCGGGCTCTCACCGGGCTGCCCGCCTGGCGCAGCGATCCACCTGACGCGGAGGATACCTAAGCATAGGCCGCTCTTAGCCCCGTTTCTTCGCACCGCAGGGCCTCCCGGTCCCGGCGCGCAGGGTGGGGCGCGGGAGTCGGCCCGGCGCTGCGAGAGCTGGTTTCGCCCTCCGTCTGGCAGGTGCGCCCCGGAAAGGGGAAGGCGGGACGCGGGGGAGGGGGTGCCCGCCATGCCAACCCTGCAGCTTCTCGCCGCCGCCTCCAGCCCGCCGCCCCCGCGGCACTGCTGTCCGCAGCCTCAGTGAGGAGGAAGCGGGGGCGGCGGCGGCAGAGGCGGAGGCACCGCCCTCTTGGCCCGCGTCCCGACCTGGCGGCCTCCGCAGGACCCATGGCGGATTCCTCGCCGGCGCTGGCCCTGCGGGAAGGCAGCCCCCGCGCGCCCCGGCCCGCGGCCCTCTCGCCGCCGCCCCTGCGCTCGGGCCCGGAGCCGGAGGAGGCCGAGCTGTCGCTGAGCCTGGCCCGCACCAAGACCCGCTCGTATGGCAGCACCGCCAGCGTGCGGGCGCCGCTGTGCGCCGGCGTCATTGAGCGCCATGTGGAGCACCGCGTCCGCGCGGACGACACGCTGCAGGGCATCGCGCTCAAGTACGGAGTCACGGTGAGCAGGGCTGGCCGCGGGGCCGAGGGCAGGGATGGGGCGGAGGAAGGGGGGGGGGAGGGGGGCGTCTCAGGGCGGGACGTGCGAGTAATGGGGGCCGAGGAGGCAGCCATCTGTGCCCTGGAGGTTCTGCCTCCGTGCGCTCTGCTGGAGACAGAAATGGTCGCCAAAGCTGGTCCGGTAGCCAGAGGGGCGGGCCAGGTCGGTGCATCGAGTTCCCCGTGCCCTGCCCAGACCAGATCTGTCGCGTGAGGCAGGCCAAAGAGGACTGGGTTTTGGCATCACCCGGAGCTACGTTCAACCGATTTCCAGTTCTGTTCCTATCACCACGTATATAGTTACTCAAAGCCAAACTGACGTGTGGACGTGGGCAGGGAATTCTGTGTCAACATGCACTGTGATGAGCCAGGAATAGTAGTTGTTCCCGCAGGATGTTCTGGTTCGATCGATTATGCTTCTTTATTTAGAAGTGAAATGACACCCCTGCGCTCACTGGCAACTGCGAACGTGACACCTGTCGCTAGGCAGCAGCCAAGAACGGTGGTCTAGGTGAGCCGGAGAGCTGTGTTTATTAGAAATTTATAAGTGTGTGTGCCTTGGGCATATTGCGTTACACCTCTGGGAAGAACATGGAAACCTGAGGGAACATATTGTTTCATTAAAATTACTTATAATTAACTCTGAGCTATGTGATGGCCTTTGTGCATTTGAGTTCTGTATCAGTTTTCAGTGTTCTTTCCTGAAGCACCTTAGACAGCGAGGGGAAGAAAGGTGATCTTATCTATATCTGTCTCTTAAAGTGAAACTCTTTCTGGCCCTTCACCAGTAATAGAGACTGAGTAATGTGCATTTTGTACATGCAGGTTGGTATATGTTTTCCTAGCAGGTCCTTCTATCATTTAAACATTTTGAGAGCAGGGATCTTGCTGTGCAGGCGTACACTGACATCATGCCATAGATAGTCCTGTTCTTCCCTCAGAAGGAGTTTCTAAAGGTGAGCTTAGAACTACAGTTCTTATGTGCATTAGTGAGAACTGGTTTGGGTCAAAGCCAGAGGAAAGCAGAGTTGGCAAATAACAGTAGCTCTCTTTTGCTGAATGTCTGCTCTGTGCCAGGCATTGCATTTGTCCTGTTCCATCTTGTTTGATTTTCCAAATAAGCCTTGAGATAGGTGTAATTAATCTCCTTTATACAGATGAGAAGATGGATGAGGGGTAAGGATGTTTTCCAAGTATGCTTATTCAAGGAGACCAGCTTGAACCCACACAGTGATAAAGCATTTGCTTTTCTCTAGATATTATTTCCAATTTCCATCCATATGTTTATCCTAGACTTATCAAGAGCTCTCTTAGCATCTTGGTTGCTGAAGAAGGAAGGTCCTTTTGTCTGGTCTCTGTGGGTCATACCTACTAGGCCAGGGTGACTGCACCTAGGAACTCATGGTATCCAGAGAAATGGTATTTCCCTGGCCACTGCCCACATCAGTCTCTCTGTAACCACTGCCCTCCATGATTTCCCTTGACTTGCTTAGAGGTTCGAAACATCTGCTCACTGCAGGTCTCCACCTTGGACCAAATACCTTCTAAAAATAACCCCTGTTTTGCACTAATATAGATCCTGTTACTCATAACCTTATCATTGCTTTCTTTTAGTGTAAATCAGATTTTTCATTAGTTTTAGAAAGCCAATTTTAAGATGTTAAGCTGAAGTATGATGAATTGGGAACTATATAGTCTATGGCCATAATAGTCTTTTACAGGATTTCTCAACTGCAGCACTATTGATATTATAGACTGGATAATTCTTTGTTTGGAGTAAGGGGGCGGGAGGATTGTCCATGCATTGTAGGATGTTTTGCAGCATCTTTGACCTCTGCCTATACATGCTGGTAGAAGCCCCACCCCCATTCAGACATGGACAAATGTTCCCTGGGGAGAAACTCACTCTTGGTTGAGAGCCACTGGTTTATTACATATATATAATTTACTTTGGGCCCTGAACTATACAGCTGATGATGTTTTTAGACGCTCTTCCACTAGTTATGTAGAACCAATAAAAGCATGAATCCTGTAATCGTAAAGTGATATCCTTGCTTTAATTAAAATCTGCAGATATTAACTGGATTTACTCATTGTAAATTAAGATTTTTCAGTGGAAGCTAAAAAGGTAGAAAGGTTTTCTTCTTTCCATGACTGAGCAGAAAGAATTTGAATAAGTTTCTAATATTGACTATCAGGATCATCAATATATTTAAGCTATTGTTTAAAGGAGTAGGTAATGCAATGTTGGAGATTTAGAGACACAAGGCAGTGCACCTGGAAATTAAGAGTGAGTCCAGGTAAACTTAGACTTGAACATCCCATGTTTGCCAAGAGCAGAGCACAGCTCTGCAATCTTACTTAGCGGAGCAGGGACTCTGAGGGAAGCCTTTCTGCTGATGACAGCTCCCTTGCCACCCGGCTGGGAGTCCAAGCTGGACCTCAGTCCCTCAGTGGTAAAAGATATTTTAGGTAGAACTAGGTTCTCAGAGCACATACTCTGACAAGGAGTGAAGATGGAGACCTGGTTGCTAGTCCTGGGTTACTAGGGGGAGCAACCTGGAAGCTGGCTATCTGAAGTGGAACACAGTCAGTGGCCAGTAGCAGTGTACCAGTACATCCCATGATGTGGAGATAGATGTGTTCCTCAAACTTCCTGCATAGGAGAATGCCTTGGGACAGGGTACAAATAAAAGATTCTAGCTGACCTTGAACTTACTGGATCAGATTATCCAGAAAAGGGACCCAGGAATCTTCATTTTTTTTTTTTTATGCACGGCTTCTTTGCTTGTTCCCAAAGCACTGTCCCTTCTTGGGGCTTTTGCACTTGCTGTTCCATCTGTCTGGAACATTCTATTCCTGAGAGCTGCATGCAGGGACCCGTTCATGGCTGTGTGGCTGTGCGGTCATACAGGGCCTCATGCTTAGAAGAGCCCTATGCTTACAAGAGCCCTGCATTTGGTTTAATGCTCTGCTATTGCCATCTTGAAATTTTTAATCATTTGTGAACAAGCGCCCCACACTTGCACTTTTCACTGAGCCCTACAAATCATGTAGCTACTCGCTCCTTCACTGCCTTCAAGTCTTTGCTTTAATATCTCCTCCAGGAGGCCTTCCTGACTACTCTCTGTCAACTTGCAGCCCTCTTCCCCTTCCTGCCCTGCTTTTACAAACAGTATTTATCGTTCATCTAATTTTTCTTTTTTTTCCAGCTTCTATCTTTCTGATGATACATTAGTGAATAAATAAATATCCACGCCCCTCATGGAGGTTATATTTTAGTCAGTGGAGACAGTAAGTAAACAAAATACGTTATATGTCAGGTATTGATAAGCAAAATGAAAACAATTAAGCAGGGAAAGGATATAGGTGGCTGCAATGTAAAATTAGTATGGTCATGAAGACCTCACTGAGAAGGAGGTGATGGAGGGAGCCATGCAGATATCTGCGAAGAACATTCTAGGCAAAAGAAACAGTGAGTGGTGCAAAAGCCCCGAAGTGGGAACATAATCGACAAGTTTGGACCAGATCACTTAGGGCCATTGTAAGAACTTTGCTTTTTCCCTCCCCTCTGAATGAGTTGGGAAGCTTTGGCGGAGTTTGAACAGAAGAGTCTCGTGATCTCACTTATGCATTAAAAGGGTCACTCTGGCTGCTGCTTTGAGACTAGGCAGGGAGGGGGTGGCGGGGGTTGGTGAGGGTAATGGAGGTGGTGGGGTGAGTGCCAAGGCAGGGAGACCAGAGAGGATGGAGGCTTTGCAATAATGTAGGTCAGAGCATAGTAGCTTGAACCAAAGCAGTACAGAGGAAGTGGTGAAAATGATTGGGTTCTAGGTGATTTGTTGACATGCTATATACATTTTCTGCTTACTAGTTTACTGTTTCATTTGAGTATCTCTTCCATAGAGATGGACCATGGGATTCAGGAAGCTTCTCTATAGGAAATAAGAATGTGGACGTTTGAGAACCTGGCCAGGTCTGACACCCGATGGACTTCAGTTCTTCTGCCAGTGACTTAGGAAATATCTGATTGATTGATTGATTGATTGATTGATTTCAGAGAGGAAGGGAGGGGGAGATAGAGATAGAAACATCAATTATGAGAGATAATCACTGATCAACTGCCTCCTGCATGCCCCCTACTGGGGATCGAGCCTGCAACCTGAGCATGTGCCCTGGACTGGAATCGAACCCCGGACCCTCCAGTCCACAGGCCGATGTTTAATCCACTGAGCCAAACCAGCTGGGGCAACTTAGGAAATATCTTAACGACTCTTTCCACCATCCCTTTTAGTCATTCATAGATATTAATAACTAACATTCATTATTTTTTGAGCTACTTTTATTGAGTCTGGTTTGTTTGAGGCTCTGTGCTAGTATGCTGGGGCTACAAGATAATATATGCTGCCCTCTTTAAAAAAAAATATGTTTTAATTGATTTTTAGAGACAGAGGAAGGGAGAGCAATAGAGAGAGAGAAACAATGAGAGAGAAACATCATCAATTGGCTGCCTCCTACAGGCTCCCTACTAGGGATTGTGCCTGAAACCCTGGCATGTGCCCTGACCAGGAATCGAACCATGACCTCTTGGTTCCTAGGTTGACACTCAACCACTGAGCCACACTGGCTGGGCATGCTGTCCTCTTTTTATGCATAGTGAGTTTATCAGCTATTGCTTTCCATCAGCCTCTAGCTATGTGAGATGCCAGGTTGCTTATGTGATTTATTTCTGTATATTCTGTGTCTAGCCTGAGTCTGGAACACGGTGGGCCCTCCACATATGGGTGGGTTTAATTCACAGGAAAGCCTGACTGGTATGAAGTCACTAGCCCTGGAGTTGAGCAGATCCTTAAAGCTGGGGTCCAGCCTGAATGAGAGGTGCAGCCTGCTTGACTTGAATTGCTGCAGCTGGTAGTTGGTGCTTCTTTCCTCCCCTGTCCCCAGCATTGGGTCTTTATATTG